ACCAAGGATTGGAAAATACGTGCCACAATAACGAGGCCTCTACAAGTTTCAGGAAGTAAAAATGAATCAGAAAACATGAAGATTACGTACAAATACGGTAGTCATCTAGTACACAAACAAATTACGCTTGACTCGCTTAAGATGTAGTAAAATCGATAGTACTGTCTCAGACAGTTCTTGTACACCGCTCAGCCATGAAGAAAATTTAAATACTCTTTCCACTAAGAATAACTGTAGCATGCATAATGACATTATTAATACCGATGCTTCTGTGACAAGTAAATCGTAAGTGTAACTCGTGAAATAGTAGAATTAGTAATTATCGTAATAACATTCTAAAACCAAAACTTCAAAGAAGTTAATCTAACTAAAATTGAAGTATTACGGCGATATTGTAAGGTTATCAAGTATAAACCAGAACAACCGAAGATTTTGTGTAGAATTACTGAACTACTGAGTAAATAAACGGAATGTTTATTTATTTTCTCTTTTATATGTTTCTCTCCCACAATGAAAAAGCTAACTTGGCACTACAAGGATATTAAGGATTTTATTAACAATGGGATTTATAGCAACTATTTGCTGCGGTATGGTCATCACCGGCCCACTTATTTCTTTATCTCGCAAAACCTGCAATAGATGTCGAGAAATGACTCACATCGTCACGAGAAGAGAGCATGGTATGTGATAGGCAATCCGTCCTCTACAAAATCACACCACCCAAGATCACCTTCAAGAACGACAGCGGAAAGAAACCAAATCAAGAATTGCAAGAACTACATACTAAGCTAAAAGCCTTAGACGATAAGTCTTCAACATCTTGCTAAAAAACAAATTATATTGATTAATCCTACGATAAGGGACCCTAGCAGTTAAGCGCCGGAAAAATAATACAACACCCAAATCTTAAAGAAAGAAGAAAGAGTTACTCCTATGGAAGGTTTATCACCATTCGCGTATCAAACCTAAGGAAACACCACTCCTGCGGAACGTCACTGTTGTTACTTCCTGAGACGTAAATATTTCTTGATTTCGTTTTCAATCGATTTCATCAGCAATCGATTGAAAACGAAATAATGTATAAACGATGAACGGCATTTTTACGAAATACAAACCCAGCGAAATTAAAAGATGAGTAGTCCGAAAATTTGGGGCGCCCGACATTTTGATTTTCTGATTACTCAACACATTAATACGGGCCGAAAAGTCAATGTCCAAACAGAGACTCGACTTTTCGCAGTTGATTCGCGACGCGCGACTACTCAATAGCATTAAAATTTGTTAAAGTTCTTACGAGCTGATTCGCGACGCGCGACGGCCGAATAACGTACATTTTATCTATTGTTATTTTTGAGAAATCATTTCTGTTCATGAATAAATAAATAATTACTTAAATCGAGTGTTCGTGCATCATTACCGACCGACCTCACATATACTTCATCGAGATAGAGCTAAGCAGCCAATTTAACTCGAAATAATAACCCAGGTAAGTTCCTGTCACTATAATAATTATTAATAAATGAATGATCATACATACTCTAAAACTACACGTCACGGCTACGTAGTCGCGATATAACACTGTCACCGCTGATAAATAAGACAGTAGTTTCGGATGGCGTGCGGCTGAAGCTATGGATAAATTATGTAGCCAAACAATCACTAATAACATTGTCATAAATCTATCTTACATCTGTGTAGAAATAGTACACCTCAGCGGTGGATCTGTCAGCACTAGTCCATGCAATACATAAATAGAGTTCTTTTGGTAGTTTCAAAGTGGGAGCTTCTTTAACAAGCTTCACACTTTTCAAATATCGAGGGAGGTATTTCGTCCCAAACTAGAGCAGATTCCAGATGCTGAGGTGTCACTAAGCGAATGCTTGTGTGAGAAAACTCATTTCAAAGTTTCTCACGCAAGAACGCCTAAATGGCAGATTTGTTACTCTCTGTGGTCGCAAAAATGCACACGTATATCTACGAGTAAAGGCTGTCTTTGGCAGAATTAATAAACCTGCATAATAGCGCTCGATATGCACTTTTTGAGTAGAGCACCGTGAGGCCGAGAGAGAAGAAGTTCTTCCCTCTCTCTCTCGGACTCTCATCTCTCTCGATCTCTTGTTCCTCTCCGTCGGATCCCATCTGATCACTCTTTTTAACTTTTGAACTTGCTCTCTCTTTCTCGCCTTCACGAGAGTCGTCATATGAAAAGGAAAATTCGTGATTCTCGCCGTTGATTTGACAACGAGGAGAGCGAAGTGATGAGCTGTTTGGCCGGTGATATTTGTATTTGCGTCAAAGATAGACTGACCTTTTCTTCACTATTGGCTGGAAAGAAGTTTCCTCTTTTTCGAAACGACGAGCAAAAAAAGGCAGATAGAGGCAGACGATAGAGAGAGTCGACGCATTATTCCAAGTCGCGAGCGAACAGTTTTGCATTATAAGAAAGAAGCAGTAAATAAAGTTTCTCTGAAATAGTTTTAGAGAAATTTATTTGAAAAATCTGAATCCCTTTCGACTTGTGTAGTGTGCGTGGCTGCGAATGGTGCTTCAAGCACATTTTATACAAGCGCTCAACAAAACTAAGAAGTAGTTGGAGGAGAGTCTCCCGACATCCAAAGAAAACAGGACTCAACAATGATATTCGTTTGTTTGTATACAAGCTAATACGTGTTACGTAATATACATACCAGTATAACAGTATGATTGAATTCCTTATGTTACTTAAAATTTATATTTTTCATGTAAAATGACATCTTTTTTCTTCTTACAACTTTTTTGTATCTTTATGAATTTTTCAGATATTTGAATTTGAATAAAAAATAATCGATTTTTTTATTAATATACTTGTAAGTCGGGTAAAAATCAAGGTATAAACTTTCTTGACCATTCATTTTCAAGCTAAAAGGCAGAAGCTTTGAATTGTCATTGCCATTTTTAAGATGCGATAACTGGTTCAAAAACAGTTTCATGAGGATTAAACATTTGGATTTTTTATCATTATGTTATTGTTAATAATACATGTATTTTTTAGTTTTTTTAGTTCGGATTAATTTTTTTCCCCAAAGCTTTAGACTCACAGAAGACAATCACATAGGAATTTTAAAAGTGTGATAATTTTTCGCCGAGATAACTTTTCTGCTTTACAGATTGTTTCCTAAAGGTAACAAAAGCATATAATGCGTATTATTATTTCAAATAATTTAATATGGATCTAGTTGCTATAAACTAAAGATTGTGTTTTCACCTCGTAATTTTTTATGAATAGGAACTATTCTAAATAGTTAAAAATGTTTCATTAAGAGTTATTAAATCATAAAATTTGAGAACTGAATTGTATAATAAAAGGCGTTGGTAGCATTTGAGTTTATTCCATCCCCTAAATAAATTTTAACATCAGTTACGTTTTCTTTTTATTTGATAAAAAAAATATTTTCATAGAAATTTTTCAATCTACTTATTCGGAAGAATCCGAATATCTTATACTTGTTATTGTTAAATTTACTTCAAGAACTAACTTCTTTCATTTCAAATACTACACATAAATAAATAATAAATATCTGTAGACAACATCCTTGGTTCCCTAAGGTAATCACAAGTATGCAATATAGTATCACAAGAATACAATCCAATTTTCTACCTCTTTTGGAAAAGTGCAGGAGGAGATTTTTCATATATCATGCTACGATTTTTATTCTTAGATTGCCTAAAAGAATATGCAACCTATTTATTTACTAATTATTTTCGTAATCACGTACGATTACAGAGAAAAACAAAGAAATAAAAAAATCGGACACACCCAACAAGTGAGAGCTTACAAAACGTTAACTCCTGTTTATTATTAAATGTGATTTTGAACATATTCATCCGTTTTATGCCCTCTCTGATGATTGTTCACCATTACAGGAATTGCGCGGTGCTTTTCCAAATCTTCTATATCTCAAAACTTTTTGGCAAATGACTGCTGGATGATTCATGACTTTGAAGGTGAGGTGGGGTGTCATTCGAACCCTATAAATATCCTATCATCTGAACGTATAATTTCACGTAGAATTCAAACCGGCGATGAAAAATGACGGTTCCTATTCAAAAAGTAAGGTCGACCTCGAAATGACTTTAGGGGTAAGGTGGGGGTTATTTGGACCCCACACATATTACATGATTTGATCGTAAAATTTACCGCTCTATCCGAATCCGGGATAAAAAGTAGGGATTTCCATTTAAAAAAACAAAGTTGACCTTCAAATTACCTTGAAACTCCATTCAAGGTCAAATCCAAGGTCACCATTGAATTTCTTGCAAAAAGTTACAAGAGACCTGACCCTAACCTTTTTCAAGATTACATTACCTGAAAACATACAGGACCGTTTCGGTACTGTTATTACGGCCTGTATATTTTTAAGAATGCTTATTCTAATATAGTAACAAAATTTTTTAGTTTTATTGATAAAGAATCGTTGCTTTAGAGGTACTAATTATTGAGGTTATTATTTTGAGGTACTTATTATTGTTTGATTAAAATATCGTTAAAATATTATAAGCCCCTCTAAATAGGGATGCTTAAAATAATTACAGTAATATATAATATGCACATGAAACTATGTTAAAAACATAAAATTTTTTCCATTGATCGAATCCAAAAAATATTATAGAACAAAAGAGCTAAAAACAAAAGAGTTAAAAATACGATTGAAGGCATTGTAAAAATTGGAAATGGAGAAGAAATGAATTTAATTTTATTCTTTCTTTAAATATTTAGTAGTTACTCTTGCTTAAAGTGCTATATCTCATAACGTCAAACATAATAACATACCTAAAGTTGTTTATGTATACAAAATTATGGATTTATTTCGAAATTATGTGAAATATAAATATGTACATGAATTTATATGATTTCAATGATTAGACCACCTTAAGAATTCGATTTCTGATGCGTTCATTAGACTTAAATTTTTGAAGTCTTACTATATAATTATTATTCAAACTGTAAATTATTTTTCTAGGTATAATTGAAGATGATGATTATGAGAAAGTCTACCAACAAATTTTAGACATTATTGCTAGAGAGACTGGACCAAAAATTTGGATTCCATCAAAATATCGAGGAGCTAGCTAAAGCAAGTTTTAAAATTGTTAATAAATATGTAGAAATAAAACTTTTCATGTTATTCAAAACACCTTTTTAGTGTATTAAAAAAAAAAGGTAATAAAGACTTAATAAAATTTAATGTGAAATGAAATATCTTATCATCATCGAACTTAAGCCGTAAGTGAACACCAAATTTTTATCATAATTTTTCGAATCAAGGATCCGTTACTATATATTGTTGTTATTGTTACTTCAAGAACTACGTCCACGTAGAATGCTACAGAGGTAAATTAAGTACTTGTACGCATTAGTCTTGGTCCCCTATAGTCATGAAAATGCAGACTCACCTCCCCAATCATTTTTTAAATGGTGTAGGAAGATAAAGTTTAACACTTATTACTATTACTTTTGCTTAATTATTGAGATCTAGTGTGACTATAATAATATTATATTAAATTAATTTACTTAAGTTGAAGTTCATAATCATTTTCGGCAATGAACTCTATTCATTTTTCTATTATCATAACTAATATTATCATAATTATAATATTAACAGTATGCAATAAGTAAAAATGCTATAAAAATAAAAAATATTCGTTGTACAGATTTAAATCGTATAATTTTAATTTTTATCGTACACTCACATAATATACACTTGAGTGTCGTTTTTCTTTTATACTTTCATTAAATTTTCAAAATTCTATCTTACGTTTTTGATATTTTTGCTATCCGATTTCTAATTTAGCTCTTACTTTATTTCGTTACAATATTATCTTTGTCTTTTTCACTGATCTATGAGTCTATTCTGTTAGGAAGCATACATCATTAAATTTTTCACGTAACATTTGATATTTGTTTACATTTTTTAACATACACACTGCTCACAATATACATTAAAAAAAACCATTAAAACCACCCCCAGCCATCAATTGGTTTTATATATTATTAACATTAAATTTCGTTAATCTAGATTTTGTAATCAAGTTATTATTGAAATAATATTACGATTTAAGCGCTATACAATAAGTTAATAAATAGACTATATGACAAATGAATCATTGTCCTAAGTCATTATTAAAGATATTTTTAGTGTATCATCACTGTTCAGAAACGTGCCCTTCCCTTAAAAAAATACTAAAGGGATCAAGTCACGGTAAAAATTAAAAATAATAGGATAGGTAGAGTAGCAGTAAAGTTGATCGAAGGCAGATGAGAAGGCCGGAAAGAATTACATCGAATTTCTTCTTCCCCAAAGAACACACTGCATTATGTGTCGCTCAGTCCTCTCCATGTTTGCCTAATAGAGAACTCCCGGTGAAAACGAGTCTGGATGATGCCTTGACTGTATGGTCTCGATGTAATCTGGAGAGTTTAGTCTACTCTAAGTCACGGTTAGAGTAAGAAAAAGTAATTGACGACGATGAACCTACTTTTATACAGAGGGCTGAGGCATAAGAGCCCTCTCTGATCCTCCCTTCAGTCCCATTGGAAGGAGGCGAAATTGGCCCGACAAGTGTCGCCCCCATTCGACCATTACTAGAATCATAGGGGAAGTGTGTGACATCAATACCCAATTAGCGGCTAGTTGAGACTTGTTCAATAAATAGACAACAAATATCAGAAACAATCGCGTTGTGAGTTAACCGACCGCAGGATTCGACTTGTTCTCGAAATACATTACTAGGGTAGAGCTAATGACAAAAACATTTAGAGATAATGTTTGCAAAACAGTGACGTCACACTCTTTCTACCTTTGACAACACGGATTGACAAGAAAAAAGTTCAATTTAGTTATTCATATGAACACGATCGACAAATAGGAAACACGCGCACCAGCATCAATCAGCGAACAAGGACAAGCGCTCATATGCGGCCCACAATCACAATCTCCAACGCAATGTGATGGCAGAACTGTCCGAAAAAATAAAAAAAATGACTGATACATGAAAGAAAAAAGAAAACCAAACCGAGAAAACGTCCTTGCAATTAAACCAAAAAACGGTCTAAACAATCACAAAATAATGATTATTAACTCAAGTAGTGCAGCGATGTTACTAACTTTAAAGGCTTCTTATTTAAAAACGTTACAAGGTATAGTTTTGAAAAAAATTGGTAAAAGACTGCTTTTTTGAGTAGAATACATTCATACTATTCTGATTTATTTATATTTCATGTTTCATGAAGTAATGAAACTACTATTACGACATATTGACCGGAATAGTTACCAAAAATTTCTTCCCGTACAAAAAATAGTAACCTTTTTCAAGAAATAACAAAAATTCAATCTTTAATATCATACTATTTATTTTTTAAACAGCAGCCATCAATATGCAGCCAAAAGGTGAATCAGCTAGAACTCGCGAACAGAATTGTCTTTGAAGATATTAAAAGTGTAAGAAAAAAGCGCATACAAAGTATTATAAATTTGAAATAAAAGATTAAATTTTTGATTTTGTTGAAATATGTAGAATTTTATATGCTATATATGTATGTATATACTAATACTTATATGTATAAGAACTTACACTAGGAGTGTTCAAAAAGTAAGGTGACTTTATGGTTTTCTCAACAAATATTTATTTATTCGTCAATATATATGTTATCCGCTTCAAAGTAGTCCCCGTTAGATATAATATACTTGTGCGCTTTTTCCAATCATCGAAGCACTTTTGATAATCATTTTGAGGTATAGCCTTGAATTCTTTCAGCAATGCAGTTTTTATCTCCTCAATCGTTTAAAATCGATGTCCTTTCACAGGTTTTTTATACACCTCAATACACCTTTGGCTGCATAACTAGTTTTTTTTAATTTACCATTGCCCGATTCAAATACGTAACCTCTATGCGCATACAACGGTCCCCAATCCCCAATACAGAATTTGGACGTTGAATACAAATTCATTCAACAGTAAATCTGCTCTTCGTAACTCCGTTACATTTACTCCATTTTTTAATAATATGTAATATGCTTCAACTAACAGAGACCAGTGATTCATTATACACATAAAAATCTGTAATTTTTTGCGATATATATTTCAATGTTGGTAAACTATAAAAAAGGATCCAGTTGGACCATTCTGCTGCTTTCCAATAGGCTCGCTCTTATACGGAACGTGACAATCGTACAAGTTGTGTAGGTACTTTGAAGTTTTTTATGTATCGATCAATTTCTTTCATTTTACTCTTCTTTATTGAATACGGCATACCAGATGAAGTCATCCAATAGTTGCCAAATTGTTTAGCTACACCTGCATCAACGTAGTGCAGTGGATCTGGAACAAATCCATCAATGATGTCAAAATTGTTCAGAAGTAACAAACAAGTTACGGTTTTGATACCGAAAATAGGAGCATTCAAATCAACTGATCTTTGCATTAGTTCAAATGTATCATCTGCTGTTCTCCTTTCAGAATATTTATCAATTATCGGATACTTTATAGCGTATCCAGTATCATGGCGAATACGTACACCTGGATGCAAACACCAATTACAACCATAATGTCCATTAAATTGAACGGTACCCTGCATAGGTGCCCATGCGACAGAATCCACACAATAACATAATGCGTAAAGAAAGAGATTTCTTTTTTCATTATGCAGTTGACATGTTATACCATTTTTCGTAAGTTCATTGATATAATCAACAAAAGGACGTAGAAAATATGTCATATTTGGCTTGTCACGACCAAACCACAAAGCACAAGTTATGCTTTGCATATTACGAATATCTTGCGGTATTTCATTTAAAACAATTTGTATTGACCATATGGAATATTTGGAACTTTTAAAAGTTGGCGATCCATCGCTATTAAATGTAACACTGATATATGACTCTTTACGATTAATTGGCAATGACGTTACAAAGTTTTTATATTTCTGACCATCGCAAATATCTATAAAATAAACTGTAGATTCTTTGTTTCGTCGAGATACAATATCAATATAAAAATCACTATTTGCTTCGATCAGATTTCTTATCTTACTTATCACATCAATAATCACAAAATAATTAGTAAACGACGGATCTTTGAAGTTTATGTCCTTATCGCATACTTCACAAAAAATTGTTCGCTGTTTTTTATAAAATATTCCAATATAAACATTACACGTCGGACATACAGCGTGATAATCAATCCCACCTTCAGGATTGAATAGGCTATCGACTTGATACCGATTCTCAGGAAAAATTTTCTTCTTAAAAAACATATTTTGCATCTTGAACAAATCTACTATTCCTGTAGTCAGGATATTATATTTTTTACAATACTTCATTATGGATAAAATCATTTCCAATTTACTAACACCTATTTGTAAAAGATCCACCATATTATATTGTTCATCACGTAAAATATTAACTAATTTGTCAAAAAGTGTATTTTCAGGCTCATCAAACACCCTAATTTTTGAAAATTCTGTAGCATTGTCGACACAATAGCTTTGTATTTAGGGTCCCGGTGGTTTCCGAGAAAATTCTCGGTGACACTTTTAAAACTTATCCAAGCATTTCTCTTATTAGTCGTCATTGTCAAGAGGAATTCATCATCATTCATAAGTGCTTGAATGTCTGGCCCTACAAATATGCCTTCATTAATTTTCGCTTCAGACAATTTAGGAAATTTGCCCTGAAGATACTTGTAACATTCGCCTTCCTTATCTAGTGCCTTGACGAATTGCTTCATCAAGCCCAGTTTTATATGGAGTGGAGGTAACAAGATATGTTTAGTATCAACAAGGTTCTCATGGACGACATTGTGTGATCCAACAACCATTCCGATTCTTTTCGTCCATTCTTTCCGAACCCAATGTTCTTCTCGTGCACGACTGTCCCAGAGACACAAAAAACAGGGGTGCAGATTGCAAGCCAACTAATATATTGATCATCTTGAAATCGCCACAAACGAGCCATTTGTGTTCATTGTAATTGATTTTCTCAAGAAGGAATCGAAAGTTATCGTGAGACTCTTTCATCACAGTGGAATGAGCAATGGGAATAGCTGCATACTCATTCCCATTGTGCAGAAGTACTGCCTTGAGACTTTGTACAGATGCATCCATGAAGAGTCGCCAGTTCTCTGGATTATAACCTCCTTGCACTTCATATAAACTGATGAGATGCTTTATATCGTTGCA